TTTAAAACTATTCCATTCAATCATGTTGAAAGCATGTTTTAAAGAAACATGTTTAAAGCATGTTTTAAAGAAACTTCATTAATAGCCAGTCCACCTGTAAGAGCATTTCTAGCAAACAATAATAAATGCTGTTTCTTTCGATCACAAAGAGACCACAACATTAAAAGCTTGGCATTTATTCCCTCTCTTTTTCTTTAATAAATGGACAGTGCACAAGCAGTGAGCAATTAACAGGAAGCATTTAACTGATTTTAACAAACCAAAATCTCTTGTGATTTGAATACTGTAACAAATCTACTTCTTTTCATACAACATGAGTTTTGTGAAGGAAGAACCAAAGATTTCAGAGTATATTTAAGGAACCAGAAGAAACAGAAGACACAGATTTAGAAGGTGACTTTCTGATAGAGTTATAATATGTTAACAGGCATTCTTCTGCTGTAATGAAATCTGGCATTCTTAACCTCCCATCAGTGGCATAGTAGTGATTTCAAAATGCAGGTCATGCCTAGACTGCCCCATTTAGCAAGCTGCAATCAGATTCCCATGTAATTTTGCTCACTTTGAGTGAAAGATGGATGTGTTCATGTCTCTTAGATTCTTACAAAAGTACACCTTAGACCGTGAGCAGTAAACTTTGAAAGAAATCTAGAAAATAGAGTTTCTTAGATTTATTTAATTAGCTACCAAATAGAGAAAAAATATTGTGAAGATTCAAGATTTGGCCAAGTTACAACTGTTTTTAGTTTGCCTCCAGAGAGACATTGGCTTAAACATTAGCAACTGTGAATTGTTCTGTATGTCTCTAATAATCCTTCTGGACTGCATAAAATACAACCTGAATGGCAGAGGATATGGAAAACAAAGACTAATCCAGTTTCACAGAATTCAGAATCACATAAATCTAAAATAAACAGTGCAATCTAATGTGGCTAACTGGAACCCTCCAAACTCAGAGATTAGAGGCATCCTATCAAGGGCGTGTACAACATGGACACAGAGGTCCATGCACAGCTCTCCCATCCTTGAAAAGATGTAGACAGCCAATTTCAGCCATCTAAATCTGTTGACCCTGCTCATGAATAGAAGAGGCTGCAGCATCACCAGAAGCTTCATGCTTTCCCTCCCTAGCCCTCTTAACACCAGCCTTGAGGCTAGACTAATGTGGGAGACACAACTGGTATCGTATTTCCCATACCAGCTATGGTGGTAGAAGGAGGGCACTTTGGAGTTGTACTTCCAGCTCCAACTTCAGAGCACATCTTCAAGGTCAGAACTGGGATTCCAAACATTCCTGACTTCCTCCAGCAGATATAGGATTGTATCCTAACTATACAGTAGTTTTTTCACAAGTGATTATCTGAATTCGAAGTATAGCACAATACACAGCAAAGTAGCGTACATATGAGAAAGAGAGGTTGAAATTGAAGTGGACAGGCAGTTATCCATATAAACAGATGCTCTATAAAGATGGGTCACCAACTTTAATTCCAATTATTTTAAAATAAAATGGTTTAAATAGTATATTGGGTTCCTGGACTTCCCCTTGTGTCAGATCTACTGTACTATAATTTTGTACTGACATTTTCCAGTTTGTCACAAGCATTTGGATTACCTTTTCCACCAGGTTGTGGCATGGAGCCAGTTAGGGCAGCTACAAACAAAAAAGAAATTATTTGATTTCTTGCATAGAATCACCAGAAACATCTAAATCAGATTAAAACAGATGCCCTCCCCTATTATAAATATTCTACTATGATAAAAGTCGTATCTGTCAAGCAATTCCAGTATTCTGCTTTTGAAAGGTACTGCCTTCATTGTTTCTTCAGCACCCAGAAATCACGCAAAAGCCATATTCATATAAAGTAGATTGAGCAAAACTTGCAAGTTCCCTATGCAAACACAGTGGGGTAAAGTGATTGTATGAACTGGACCATATGCTTTATAAAGGTATGTCAAAAGATACACATATCATCAAGAATCATGTTTTCAGGATGATGTAATTTATTTTCCTACAATAAAGTATCTTAGTCCCTTTCCATCCATATGAGATGGTTCCCACATAATCTAGTCCTAAAATGCTCAAGATTTTACTGGTTGCACAATTCTGTCCTTTTCTTTGGTATCAAGGTCAGATTAAGGGTGAAGTTTTATGGTCTTACGTTGTTTGCAGGGCACACTTATATACATATGCAATGGAAGGCATTCAGTTGTGCCCAAAACTCACTGTGCTTCAAGGAGACTGTCAACTTGACAGTTCCAAAGTTAAATGGTGAAAAATGAGAGTTTCCTTTTCCAATATCTTTGAAAATCATTCCAAGGGGCTACTGCACTCATCTTTGAAGTGACTAAAGAGCCGTTATTCATAATTAGCTATATCTCTCTATAGTTGAGAATTATCAGTCTTTCCTTTCTGTCTAACAATAGTAGTTCAAAGAGACACACTCCATTAACCTAATTTCTCTTTCTCTCTTTTAAATTATTGGCACATTAGGAATTTCTCAGTATTCCAAGATTTACAAAAACTGTATTAAAGAAATCAAATGCTAAAAATTAAGCACATTTACATTGTTTTTGTGACATAAATAGCCTGAAGTGCCTGATCCTGCATAATAGTGGAAGCTAAGCAGGGTCAGGTCTGGTTGAAATCTGGATATGTGATTTAATGTGAACCGCCCAGACAGCTTCAGCTACTGGCAGTATAGAAATGTAATAGAGAAGAAGAAGAAGAAATGTTTACAAATTACTTCTGCTTTTTAAAAAAATGACTAACATATTGTCATACAATAGTGGGGCAATGATCATAAAGGTTACCTACACAGACGCCCTAGAAAACTTTGTCTCTATAAAAATCATCAAAAAAAATGGGGTAGCATGAAACATATGCATTTGCTCAGTTCTCATGTATGCAGTTGGTCATGAAATATATACTACCTGCTTTAGGTATGTCCATTTTAACCTTTCCTGCAACTTAGTAGTAGTTCCTACAAAAAGTCCTAAAGATCTGTGTGCCTAAATATTAAAGAGTTTTTTTAACTTCACTTTTCTAAGATTTTCTACTTGGGAATAGGAAAAGACTATTTAAATTAGGGATTTTGTTCCCAAGGTATGTATTCATCTAAGCGCACATACCCCACCCTCAGCAGTACATATGAGGAAGGATTCTAGTGTCATAAGTGACATTGAAAATGTATTTTAATCTAGAATGTATCAGCTGGAATAGCATTCATAGAAAAGGATAATTCATTTTAAATTGAAGGTACATTTTATCTTTCTTTTTCTTTTTACCTTGATATACAATACTGGGAAAAGCAAAAACTGATTTAAGAATCTCTTCTGAAAAGTGCCAAAGTTCTACAACTTTTATTCTTAATAATACCATTGTAAACATAGTTAATATTTTTTCTGATGGCTGTACAATAACATAAACATTTAAAATAAGACATTACTTTATACTGATAAACTATCTAATTCAGTATTGTTTACTCTGACTGGCAGCAGTTTTCAATGTCTCTGACATCTCCAGCCCTTTCCAAGTTCCTTTAACCAGAGGCATCAGAGACTGAATGAGTATGTTCAAAGCATGAATTTTACCCCAGCAATCAATGACCTCTCCTTTATACTATGGTCTTCCCCTATCCTCACAGAATCCCTCGCATAAAGTACTGTTTTAAGGGAAGAAGGGGTGGAAATAAAACACCATATCCATGGGGAAGACATGTGAAAGAATTATGAAAAAGAGGATGTGGATTAGCAGTTCTTTCTTCAATTAAATTTTGCTCAACTTCAGCAACTCCTAGCAATATTTCTTTTGATATCAGAAATGCAATCAATTTTATAAGATTGTTATGATAACCTCTTGACTGTCAGAAAAATTAATATGCCAGGTGAGTACCCAAAGAATACTGTTTTGCAAAGAATTCAAATGGGCATTTTAAGTTAAATGCTACATCAGGATAAAAGCTTTGCTACAGTACAGTTATGAATCCATCTTCACTCTGAAAGACAAGTGTATGACTGCCAAACATTATTTATCCAATATTCTGATTATTCAAATACTTCTACTCAGCAGACAAGTTATATATCCCATGCCATGTATATGGCTGCATGTTTTCTGCCTCTGGATGATTGACACAATTGGGATTCTCATTATAATCGTCCTTGCATTGCATCACCTATGGCTCCCCACACGTCAAAGACAAATTCATCCGGAAATGCAAAGTCTCCTAAAGCTTCATCAAGTGCAACTGCAAAGACATCCGGGTTGTTCTTGCCTTTTCCAGCCTCTACCATTGTTGCAGCTAAAAATAAAAATACAAGAAAACTGTTTTCATAAACAGCACTATCAGATGTCATAGCTATTAAGATATTTATATTTTGTTTTTTGGAAAAAAGTGTATTTGACAGAAATCTAAATTAAAAATATGAGAAAACATTCATGAATTCATCTAATCTCATGCAGTGTAGCTACTCTGGATAGCTTTATTTCTCTTAATTGCACAAAGTCAATTCAGACTGGGGCTGGGGCATTCAGGGTTGGGGGCAGGGTGTATTCTAAGCTCTGTTTTCACCTTTTGCCTATCCCTAATGCATTAGCACCTCCCAAAATTTTCCAAATGAAAAGGAGAAGACCAAAGTCCATATTCCCAACAAAATAAAAGTTTTGTTAGTCCTGCATTTTATTGTATTGTATTTTATTTTATTACAACTGCACGAAATCAGTCCAGCTGCACATTCAGTTAAACACAGAGAGTGGGGTGCTTAAGCATCCCCACATTCAGTTTTGTCCTGAAATTCTATGCCCTTCATAAGAAGTAGAGAGCAAAACAGGGGGCATGAGGGTTTACCCACCAGCCCCCCAACACATACGCAAGTGCCAAGGTACTCACCTAAATCGGGACTACATATTCTTACTCAAAAGTAAATAAAGGTACAGTAAAATTACCACACAATGCATGATTACATGCAGGTTTAGTTTGGCTTTGAAAGTCCATGATACACTTCTAAGGCCAGGCTTTCCCAAACTGTGGGAAATGACTCCCCAGATATTAAATAACTCTTGCATTAGTCGAAGCTGCAGTTGTGGTTTTGTAGAACTCAAACAATCACACAAATTTGGCAGGGCCCCACCTTTAGCCCTGGTTGAAAAGGGATACATGAAGCTTGCTGGTAAGTGTACTGGAATATTTCCATCTCTCTCATAGTGAAAGTGCCCATAAACTATGGCAAAAGCAGTTTAGTTGACATTTCACAGTGTCCTAGGCTTGGTATAACAGAACCAGACTCATATTCTCTCTTAGTCATTACTCGAATCTGAGCAGCTTTATCGTCAATCTGTTTCAGTTTCACCTAACACACAGGATTACTATTATATTTTTTAAAATATACAAAGAAAACTGTATATACCACAAACAGGAAAAACAACACAGGGCTTCTGAAAAAGAGAAAACCATTCACATCACTGGGGGAAATTATTAATTTCATTTTGTGCTGTTATACACATTTGATGAGTTTAATCTCCTGGGCAAAGCCTTTAAGGTTGCCCTAGATTTCCTGCATTTCTTCCAGATTTTCTTTTTCCTTATGATATTATCTGTAACATTTTAGGACATAAGTTTCAGGATAAACAGAAACCTGTTTAAAATGCCAATGTGCAGCATAAGGACCTCAAGGTTGGGGAAAGTGGGTCCCTCCTGATATTTCTAGATTAAAAACTCCCATCAGCCCCATCAGTCCCAGCGGGCACAGCCAGTGATGGTGGGAATTGTATCCCAACGACATATGGAGGGCTATATGGCATTTGCCATCCCTGATTTAATATACACAATGAGAACATACACATTTTGTTTGACCCAGACTTGCACTAGACAGAGTTCCATTCACGCTGGAGCAAAGTGAGGACTACATGGCTTGAGTGCTGGTTGTTGCTGAACCATTGTCTGTTATTGAACCAAGAACTGTTGTTGGAATGTGAGTTAACCCAGCCATGGTAACAAACAATCAAGAGAACCTAGAATTTATTTCTGGGTTCTGAACTATGGGTTGTCCACACCATCACTTGAACCCAGTCAATAACCTACATGGAAAGTTTGAATAAAGATCTTCATTGGATCATGGGTTATTGCTGAAGTGCTAACAACCATGACGAGAACCATGGTTTGTTGCTGGGTTGTGAACTGTGGACACTTCACCTTGTGTGTTTGTTTGTTTGTTTTTAATCTCAGCTGGGCACAGACAACATGACAACTCACAGTTTAGTAACAACCCATGGTTCAACCCAAACTAAACCCTTGAGTGTGAGTAATTGTGTTGTCTGAACCTTGTGTTTATTCTGGCCAGATTAAATTTACCTGCTATTGCCTGTATCTTCCTTCTGCACCATATTTCATACTGAAACATGAACATCTACTGGTGCAGCACTAAAAAGAGGTGTTCCAGGTGCACTTGCACAGGAGTTCATAGAACAACACTAATCTATTTTCTTCTGCAGTTTGTGATTGTTCAGATTTAGACTAATGTGTGCAAGAAAAACTGAGCTGTGTGCCAAATAAGGATGCTAATACAGTATATCTGACACTCAAATATCACTTGAAAACTATCTTAGAATAAAAGATTTTGCTCTAACATATTACATCTGAAGTTGCAAACACATGAACCTTACAAATAAGCTCTTCTTTGTAACTATCAGAGCTTTAGTAATTGTCTTCATTGCACAAATTATGCTTAGCAAGGAAATTCTTATTAAGACTATATAATCAAATATATTTCAGTTCTCACTTTTTCATGAAGTGCTATGTTGATATTCAACAGTCAAGTACTGGTCTCTAGTGGTCACTTAGATGAACTGCCATATACAGCTATGCACAACTATTACATATTAGATGTATTTTAATGTGTACTTTTAAATAAAAATATAAAGAACTGCTCTAAATGCAGGTGTACCCATAGTTACTGGATCGTGGGTGCACTTAACTAGAGCAGGAGGTTGTTTTTTTAGTTCAATACATGGAAAGAACCGCTGCGACATTTAGTCTGCTTCTGTTAATAGTGTAACAGGAAAGGAGTGGATTTTCATGCACATTGTTTAGTTTTAAGGATTTCTTCCAGAAAAATAGAATAAAGTAATTTTAATCTTGCAAAACCATTTCTCCCTATCTGTTCACTGAAACAAAGGCAGCATCTCAGTGCTGCTGCCAAACATTATGACAAAACATTTTTGCTTGAGATAAATACTTTTTACAGCCTCCACATATAACTTAAAGTAGCATCATTAAAGTGCATTTAATTGGCAATTTCATTGGTTTTGATTAGATTGATTTCCAAGTGAAGTGTGCTTCATTTCCAGACTTTATGAAAAAAAAGCTATGCAGAGTGTGCCCCTAAAACAGGCACCTTTTGAAAAACCAACTGAAGAATAATATTCAGATGCAATGAAATCATTCAGATGGAAATATTTTGGTAGTATGAAGAATTGGATTTCTTACAGTCCATACAACTTTAAATTTATCTTCCATTCAAATAATTTGTTCATGGTTCAAAATAAAGATTACATTTATTATAACAAGTTTACTCATGTAATATCCAATATAATATCAAAAATACATGCCTGATTTGGTCCACACTTGATCTGCTCACCCAGCTACTCAAATATTAAGGCATTATCAATAACCTCTTAGTTATATTTTATAGTTTTTACTTTGTAGAAACTGATATCACTGAAGCTGTCAGCAAATTAATGAGCTAGAGCAGCTAGGTGTAAAGCTATTTTCTGAATCTAATACAATGGGAGCAGGGCAATGGTAATCTTGTCTGTTCACTGCATGGTTATCTAACATGAATATAAAAATGAAATTCCTACCTGAATAGTAATTGGAATTATCAGAACAAATTAATTTTTCTATTTCATTCCCATGGGTAATTGATCACGTCTGCAACCATGGTTTGACATTGCACCAAAACCAACAAACTGACATTATATTAAGTAGCATATCTGTGATTGCCAATTTTGAGAGAGAGAGAGAGAGAGAGAGATGAAATTTAGATTTAAGAGCTGTTTTAAATTACAAAATATACTCATGTTGCTCCCTTGCTTTACATCCTCATTTTTTATATGAGTGACTAGTTCCACACTCGATAAACAAAGTCATTTGACAACTGGTGTAGACTTTGATTACGGTGAGAGACTTTGATTGTGGCAGGTGTTCAGTGCAACTAGAAATGAGACTTAGCTGCATAGAGGCTCACCTAGTTCGAGATCTCTTATTCCCATATACATTTCCAGAAGGTCATCTACCTTTTTGGTAGCTTTTTCTTCAACATCTGAAGGCTTTATCAAAGCAAGAAAACACACATTGAAAAGTTTTATATGAGCAATACAAAATGAATTCCATTAGAATGTTTATAGTTTCAATATTTTAAATTAAATCTACTTGCACTAACTAATAGTACAATCCCATACATGTCTATTGAGTCCAATACGACTTGCTCCCAGGTAAGTGGACGTAGGATTGCTGTCTTAAACTGAGATTTGTACAATCTAAATAATCAATGAAATATACTGTCAGTTGAATTCTAAAACTTCAAGACAAGGTCAATGTCACTCTTTGTGTGGATATGGCATGTCTTTAAGTCCTTGATATTTCCCTCTCTTTCTCTTGGTATGTAACGCTGCCACCAGGAATTGTATTCCAATCTTATTAATTAACCATTCCCACAGTATTCTGCCCAAGCTATAATGCTTCTTTGTTGAACTATGTGGTACTGAGGATGAGGTGCTGATATTCAAACAGCTTATAATGAAGATTCAATAACAAAATTAAACTTTATTTGTGCAGGAAGTGTATTGGTTTCGAGATGCTCAGTAACGAACTTCCTTACAGAGTAGAACAATGTAGAATAACAATTTCTGACTGAGGTATATCACTCTTTGTCTTCACAAAGACTCCTCACACAGATCTTCCCTTCTCTCCTGCACTCAGGTTTCTGTCAGCTTCTATCTCTCATACCCTTATAATACTTGACAATATTAGGTTTTGACTCTCCCTAGTCACTAGTATGTCCTCTAAGTATTCCTTCTTTAGAATATTACATGCTTTTCACAGCATGTGCTAGGATTCTAATGAGTAGGCTGCCTCTACAGATCCTGTATACTTCTGACAAACCACAATTCTGTGTGCTAACTGATGGCTGTCCAATAACTTTTTGCCTTCTTTCTCTCCTCTCTCTTCACACACATCCAAGATCCAGCCACACACTCTCAGTCACCAACCACTCTCAGTCACCAACCAGTCACCTGACCCACTCATCCCCCTCTTTTATCCCCTTGCCTTTCAGAAACTGACCCACATTTAAAGGAACACACTCATATAATTTTAAATCATTACAGTCAACCTTATGCTTTTGGGAATATTCAGCAAAATAATACTCTTTGCAATATTCTTATACAGGACTGGATCCAGGCTAAGTTAATCACTTTAACAAAGCAATCCTATAATGGTGGGAGAAGAGATTATACCACAAGATTTGGCCACTTCCTAAGCTTGATGCTAGCAGGATGGGGGTGAGATGTTCTTACCTTTCTTTGGCCCTTTTCCATTTTTCCCTACCCACTGAGGTAAGTTAATTATACCTTAACAGAATGATCCTGCTTCCACTTCTAAGCACAGTTAATGTCTCCTTCTCTGAGACATTAACTTCCCACCACAAATATCATAGGACATCTTCAGGCTTATTGGAAGGTTCTGCAAGCATAAATGCTCTTCTGCCCATGGGCCTTCCTCTCCATTGGTGGAGCAGTGCTTACACTATATTAAATAGATCCTCGGACAGCCCTTGCCTAATTTTAGGATTGCACCATTAGTGCCATTGAAAACAATGCAGCAGAAGTCTTTTTACACTGATTGTAATTAGAATTAAGTGTTGCTAGCTTGATCTGAATGCAGTTTACAAAGCACTGCGCCAAGCAATTCCATAAACATAAAATGCATGCAATATGACACAGAATCTAGTCTTTGGGTAAGAATTGCAAGTCTAGTATCTTTCTTTTTTTAAAGCAAATATCTAGCCCTGCAGACATTTGAAAAAGTAGTAACATCAAAATAATGCATTGCTATACATTGCTACAGATTTTTCACTTATGTTTCCTGGTCCCTTTATTTTTATTGCCTTTTCCTTGCTTGTATTTCTGCCACCTGGAGGAAAAGTATTCTGTGAATCACATTTATACAAAAAACAGCAAGTTTCACAGTAATGGTTTAAATTACTTTAAATGTCCAGAATACAAACTCCTTTTAACTCCTTAAAACTGGTAGGAGAAACCACTTTTTCCATGAAGTTCAGGGGGCTTAACATGAATTGGGACCCTAGCATGGGAATAGGGAAGGCTTTAATGCACCCACCCACACAGAGAGACAGACAGACAGGCGGACAGAGACGAAGATGGAGACTCTGGAAACTTGCTTTGAATCAGACATCTGCACATGCAATTTATACTGTCAAGGAGTGACAATGATCATTATTTGGAATGCCATGTGCAGGTGCAAGGGTGGAATGGGAGAAGGGTTGATTCCTACACCCTCCATGCTTACTCTAGAATAAAAAAGGAAAAAACGCACAGGTGCTACCTAAACCTTTAAAGTCAAGACTGGAAGGTTGGAACCCTGCAACACCCTGTTATCCAATCCAAAATGTGCTATTCAATTCTTTCTGTTATTAGTCAGAGGACTGAGTCCACACTACAAAGTATCTGGGACTCTTGCTACAAACAATCCTTACATAAACTAAAGTTGCATTTGAAATATGAGCAAAGAAATCCTATGGTCCCTAGACAGGGCCTAGATGGTCATAGGATCATTCAGATTCACAGATGCAAGACTGGAAAAGGACTCTGAGCTGGGAGATGGGGATCTGCACTTTTAATTCCCCACCACCCTGTTGCAGCCAGGAAGAAAAAAAGCTGTGCTGACTGTTTCTCTGAGGTCAGAAAAGGGAGGAGAGAAGACCAAGATATGGTGGCATCTCAGCTGTATTCCCTCCCCCTCTAAAATACTGCAGTTACATGGCCAAAATAGGCTACCCAGATGCTTTGCAAAGAGGGAGGAGCACAGAGGCAACCTTTGCATCCATGCTTCTCCCTCTCTACACAAGATACTCCAGTCCTCCAAGTTCAGAGGAGTGCAGACATCTGCACTGGATTGTACTCTAACTGTCCCACAGGAAGTTCCTCCTTAAGACTCTGCAAATGTAAATTAGCAGTCCTGTCTGTAGCTGTTGCAAGAATATCAGTTTCCAGTTGTTCATGGTTATAATTTAATATGCATGAGAGAAAATGAAGTGGACCTAGTTCAGACATAGCAATCCTAGTCTAATGGATCAAAGTTTATAAATATATAAATAAATGGAATGTCCGCTTCCTTTCCCATCCTTTTCCCCTTTGCATGCCCAGTTTTAGCATAGGTATATTAGGGTGCAATCATATGCAGGTTTAGAAAGAAAGAATTCCTAGAACTCCTAGCATCTTCAAGCCAGCAAGGCTAGTTGGGGCATGGTGAGAATTCAGAGGACTTCTAAGGAATGCTGGGAATTTTAGGCCTTTTTTCTGTCTAAATTTAAGATTATGCCTCTAGTTTCTTAAACTGCAGTGGAAACTGTAATTCAATAACTTCCTCCAAACCACCATATGCAACCAAGTGTTTCTCCCATGTCTGCATAAGAAGAATCATGAAGCAGAGACGCACCATTTCTTCCAGTGTAGCAGGGCCTTTGGATCTCAGTCGAAGAGTCTCTCTCCCTCTGGCTATTTTTCCCTCTGCAAAACTTCCACCTTTGCACCTTGGTTCAATCATATCTGCAGTAGAAATATTAATTATGTGCCAGCTGCATATTATGAGAGAAAATATGCATAACTCCCTTATTCTCACCTCCTGTTTCTGGATTTCTGATGCATCACGGCACAATCTCCTTTGGCTTCTTCAATGCCTGACTCCTCATTCCTTCTATTCCCACCCTTCTCTGGGACAATCTTCATTACTTCACCTGTACATTTCCTTAGTGTTTCACTTTCTCAATAGAACTCCTTTTCTGATTTCATCTTACTTCATTTTTTGGGTACTTTACAAAGGCATTCTGCTACCTAGAAAGAAGGTCCTAAGCACGGTGTCCTAATGAAAACATGCTAATTTTCCCGCCTAGGTTTTCCATGCTGACAGCAGCTTGTCCTCTGGCAGAACAGAGCTTGAGCCACATGGGGAAAAACCTCTTCCACCACTGCACTAGAGCTCAGTCCCTCCTTTCAGTTATTCACATTATTAAAAGGGTTATTCCATAAGCGTGGAAGAGTCAGTTCCAGGCATCTATAGAGATGTATATCCCAAGCATGACAACAAAGCATAACTTCCAGAGACTACTTCTGCATTCTTGTCTTCACAATATTCATATTAATATAATTGCTGTCTAAAGAAATGGAATGTTCTAGTCCAGAGGTCCCCAATATGCCCAGTGCCTGCAACTCCCAAGCTCTTTCTGTGCAGTCCTCCAACCTGCTTGTTAAGCTATCACCCTCAAGGCATTTTCCCTCAGAACTACACTGTTCTTCCTGCTTAAGAGGCACTATCTGCTGCTGTTTTTCCTGTCCCCTTCTTACAAAAAAACACAGTAGCAGCATTGTTTCTTCTGGTTTTCATGGATGCTTGTGTCAGCCCTCTCTTGGTCTTATCCTCCATACATGATCAGTGATAGCTATTAGCTTAACAGCTTAAAACAACTTTGGCTATTGAGCAGTAAAGGATGAGGATGCGGATGCAGTGTAAACTATGAACCACATATCTATTCTGATTTTGGAGGTTTCCAGTGTAGCCTATAGAGGAATGGGTACCCTACATGGCAGGGTGGATTTGATTTAAATCACACTTTAAATCACTAGTCAGTAAGACTAGATTTAAATCATGGTTTTCTACGTAATTTGCATGCATGCCTGCCTTACCCATAGATAGAAGAACTACATTAAAATATTCTCATTGGATCTAAGCCTGCTGCCATTATAGGTTTTCTCCTCCAGGAAAAGAATAACATGATAAACCTCAGGCCACACACAAGAAGATCCAAAGACCTGTGGATTCTGCTCAAAAGGCTTCACTTCTTATGCAGATTTAGTCCACTCCCAACACTCAACTTCCATGCAAACTTAGCACTTAAGAGATAAGAGGCTAATTCTGTGAACATGGGTTTGTAAAGGAGCAATTGGATTAAGGTCTTTTTTCTCAACCCTGTATGTTGATTTCATAACATTTTTGATGTGGAAAAGAAGCATTTGATCTCTGCAGACACAAATTCACAGGTCTGAGAACTGTAAAACCAAAGACCTGTGATAATATCTTGTAGACAGAAAAACTGCCCAATAATCTTGACATTGTGAATTAATGGAATTTATTTACCAAAATAAATAAATAAACATTGCATGAATATACATCCTCATGCTACATAATTAAAAACTAATCTTTATTTCATGATGAATAACCTTTGGACTATAATGTATCTTAAACAGAAAACTATCTGTAGATAGATTTTTCCTGAAAAATCATTTTATTAAAAAATCAAATTTAAATCAAAAACATCTTATTTAAAATAAAAAACTGATTTTTTAAAAAAAATCCAAATTTTTATTTTAAAAAAATCATTGGTTTTTATGCACCCTGCAACATGGGCCACTCTCAGCCCCAAAATCCTACCTATTGGTCTGGAGACTTAGAAAGGAGACAGGGAATAGAATCCTTATCTCTGATCTGTCACATTACATGAAGATTCCTTAAGAAGGTACTATGCCAGGCTTGGCCAGAAGTTGCAGGACCCATTCCTACAAGTGTATGCTGAGTCTTTCTTGCATTGCTCTCTTGGTATGTAAACAGAGCAGTAAAGGATGCTAAGCTCGGCTGGTACTTGTAGCTCCTGAAAACACTGGATGGGCCCTTTCCCATACCACGTAGCAATTTTATATGATTAAAATTCTTCTTTAGAATTGCATACAATAGCTAAAGATATAATTTATGATACATATGGTCACTCACCAAATGATTTCATTGGCTCTATCAGTTTTAGTGTAAATGTTTGGCCCTTCTCCAAGTCCTTTAATTTCTTAGCAACTTCATAATGACGGTAGCCCACTACACTTTTTCCATTTATAGATTCTATGTGGTCACCAACACATATCAGTTTTATTTGGTCAATAAGACTTCCTGCTTTAATTCTCTGTTGGACAAAAATGCATCCCATTAGTTGTAATGAATGTCAGAAACAAATAGTTGAGTCCATAAGACTATGATGTGCAAAATATGGAGACACACAAATCTCACCTTTTGAGCCAGTGGAATTAAAAAAAGGATTTCTTGCTTCTTTTATACCTACTGAAGTTTAGACATGGAATAGGGACCACAAAGATTGTGAGGAATTTGCAGTGGAGATAAACATTTCTGACGGTATGTGTAACAGACTAGAAATCATGTCACTCAAGTCAAAACGTACAGAGACATTCTTATGTAAACAGGCAGTGCAGTAAGAATGTGAAGCTTATCTAAACATTCATAAAAAGTACAAGTTTTAAACCTACTGAAATTATACTTCAAAATATAGGTGAATTAGCCCCTACTTTCTGAGACCCCTGTTGGGGGAGGGTGAAACATCTCTTGGGAGGATGCTCGAATGCCATTTACTACTTTTGTTAGCACAAATGTATGTCATTATCTCTGCAGCATCTCTAGAAGTTGATTGGTAGGAAAATGGTGGGAGTTCCTCCTAGATATATGGGGGTGGGGAGGGAGGCGTTCCTGCCAGAACGAGTTTAGCTTGGAAAATCTTCCCAAAAACAGACCCCACACAGGCACAGAATGCATTATGTGTGATGCACAGAGACCACAAAGAAGAAGGATAAGTATCTTGTTTGCTTTTGTGTACATTCAAACCTTTCCCTCTGTACAAAGGATACCTGCTTCTATGTACCTCCAAGTAGAAATCCTTAGCATAATACAGTGGTTCTCAACCACCAGTCCAGGGACTGGCACTGGTCCATGGGAGATTTCCTGTTGATCCGTGGGGGGCCACATCCCACTCACCTTGGACTGGCATGGGGGCTGGCTGTGCTCCACCACCTCTTCCTTGGTTGGCATCACCACAGTGTGGGCGGGGGAGGCAGGGAGGGGAGAGACAGCTCAGTGGGAGTCAGCTGGGAAGCCATGCCAATTTCAGTATTTTTTTCTTTTGTTGGCATTTTTTGTTGCTTGGTTTCTGGTTGTTTTGGAGAATTTTCATGTTTTTGGTATTGTGTTTGGACACTAATACACAGAATACTGTATTATGGGTATGACGCTTTTTGTTTCTGCCTGAGGTGGTTTTCCTGATTTTGCTGGTCCCCATCTGCGGAAAGGTTGAAAACCACTGGTATAATACATTTCAAAGCATCTCTCCAGTGCCCTCTACCCTTAGAATAAGGGGGGGGGGGGAATGAACTGGAAAGAAATAATAGATGAATAGCAACCTAAACAAACACTAAAAATAGAAAACGTTTCAGCTTTCAGCAACATAATGGCACAAACCATTACACCCAATCATGAAAAATATCACGAGGTATTAAGAGCAACTACTGTAAGCTAATAAATAAGCAAGGAAAAAAATCAAATCAAGAGTATCAAATTGAGTAAAAAAGAATGTGGTAAGATGTCCAGGACTTTGTCTCATCAAGCAATGAAAACCATGGCCAAATGCCCAGAAATTTACATCTACCATGCAAAAATAAAATTAAAAACACTGGAAGCAGCTAGATCAGAAAGTGTCTTCTGAGCAGGGTAGGTGGCTCAAATTGCCATTAAAAATATCTCTGCAGCTTCTGGAGACTGAAACTCCATAAATTTTCATCTCCAATCAGGTATTTTTTCTGAAATAATCTGGATAGAGCATAATTTTATTGTTACCCGAACCTTAATATATCTGTCTCATATGTCTGTCGGCAGAGGAGAGATTCTGTAGTTAGAAACTCAACAATGATAAGTCCCCACATAGGATCAGGAATATGGTAAGCATACTCTATGTCAATATGGAAGTCTTGTAATAATTTCAAAATCTCAAATAGAACTGAATCCATAACTTAAGTCAACTATACTTCTGATGGCTGCTTACACAGACCAAGCTCTTAGTTCTTGTGAGAAAGTTTCAAAAAGCAAAACAACCCATAACTGCATTCTGGGGAGCGGACATTGGAAGCTCATGTACAATAATGCTATCTTTCAAAATTGCAGCTCTTGTTTCCATCGTCATGAACACAATTAAAAAATTCCTGTGGTGCTTTTGTCAAGTCCTGGAGTTGTCCCATCTTCTTTGCTGCAATAGTTCCTTCAAATGCTGAGATAGCTACAATAACATGTTTTTCATTTTTACCTCCTTGTAACTCTCTCTCTCTTAGACATCTTAGGTGGCATAGGCAGGGTTAGTAGAAGCCCAGTACCTTTTCTTGATTTTGAAAGCAGCCATGTTTTCAATATCCTACATTCAAGCAATTTCCATTGTGGATGATGTTTGATTTCCATAGTGCTAACCATGCACCGATATTATTCACACAGAATAATTTGCTATTATATTTCTCTTACATACCAGTTGCTCAGTCTATTCCTTCATCCTTACCTTTATGAAAGCACATCCATTTCCATTGTCAGTAATGGTAAGCCCAAGTGACTCCTCTGATTTGAAAACTTCTACTTCCTTTTTTATTCCTTTTACATGAGCAAATATGAAGTCTTCAAGACCAATCTGCACTCCTAAGAGCTTATCCATATCAATTTTGTGTGTATTCAAAGTGCAAAACATTATCTGTAAGGCAAAAGGGAAACAAAGGTAGTTTTCAGAAAAGCAAACATCCTCTCCTGAACTCTCTGGAAGAACTATATTGCATGAACATAAAAATGTGCCATCTGAAGTACACTGGCAGGATTATGTACATTACATTAAACACTGTAAGATGGGTCCCAAAGTAAGGCAATAAATGCTTAGAATGGTCAGTTCGGAGCAATTCAATTTTGGAGCCCCTGTTCTCTAAACAATGTATAGGTGTTGGCCATCCCTAAAGTCTGATAGACAAGGTGCCAATGGGTGCTCAACTGCAAGATTTAAACAGATGAAAGAAATAAGTGCTGAAAATGTTGAAGAAACCAGCATATTTCCTATTCCATTTCAGCACTCATTTGGCCCACCTTCTTTCTCCAAGATGCTGTGTAAAATTCTACAGCTATGCCAGCACCTAATAGGACTAAAGCAAAAACAGGTACCACAGAGTAGAATGGACCCTTATAAACAGCAGGAGGTTAAATGTGAACCTGGCTCAATGAGTTTGTCCCAATACATCCATATTGCAGCTCTTGCTGGGACACAGCATAGTAATATCTTGGGAATTACCAATGCAGAATAGGAAGATGTATACAAGTAAACTTTTGCTGGAAAGAGGTATTTAAATATAGTTGCTATTGAGAAGGATACACTCCGGATATTACTCCTAAGAAAGGTCCTTAATGTACATGTACATTATACGTACACTGGTGTTTCACATGTACATTAGTGTTTCAAGTTGTTGGCAGATTGAACAGGATCAATTTTCTCTAGCTGCAGTATCTGTCTGCTTCCTCCAATGGAATAATTGGCATTATCAGAGTAAAACAAGTCAGAAGACTAATCCATATTGGATTGATATTAGAAACCAACTTACATCCTTTTCTTCCTAAGAGGACAAAATGCAGCTTGTAGCAATAACAGATATAGATCAAAGCATGTAACAAGACACAAATATCCCAGATGGAAGCTTTTGTATGTGAGAACTCTAAAGGTTAAAAAAGTGACTTGGGCTGTAATCCTATGCATCCTTATCTGGAAATTAGCCCCTTGAACACAATAGGACTTAATTCTAAGTAACCACAGCAATCAAAATTATTTTTTCCATTCTTGCCATATAGTTCTATGACAAGAGCTACAAAAAAAGTTTAATTTGGTGTATTTGATTGGCTGCTGAGTTTTAAATTTTATTAATTTAATTTATATCCCTACTTTCTGCAAAAATGATGCTCAAAGAGACTAACAATAATAAATGCAGATTGAAAACAAAATCAGATGAACTATTATAATATGGTATCAGCAACATCCTAAACATAAATGACATGTTTAGAAGAGTCATGCAGCTTTGTTCTCTGAATATACCTACATTCCTGATGTGGCTCTAAACTTAAAAGAGCAAGACTGACACTTGATAAACACATGGTCCAATGACCTCCTGAGAGCAAAAGCAACACAAGATGGAAACAGTCCCGTTTCTAATAAATCTCTTGTACAGCACCCTCAGAAAAAGTGCTACTTGAAACGCTCCCTTTGTTCCAATACTGATAGTAAACGAAGAAGAGGGCTGGCACCATGTTTAAGTGTATCCTAGCCAAGTGCCCTCTTAAAGGTATCCTATGTCCAGGACCTATTTTAACCTAGAAGTTTCAGTGAGCGGCAACAGCAGTGTCATTACGAATGACAGGTGGCTTACCACCGCCTTTTTAATTTTCCACAATGACTAGAATATTTAAAGAGTGGGAGACTCCCAGACCCAGCTGCACTAGGGTAAGTGTCAGCACAGCAGTGGCCCTTCCAGGGGCCCTTCCAGGGTACTGGGGCTTCAATATGTGCCCACGTATTCCACGTGCTTGCTCCAGGCAAGTTGCCAACTGATATAAGCTGTTATCTGATATTCACAGGATTCAGCCATGAGTTATTTAGGCCGTCTAACTATTCTTAAAATCAAGTCTTTTGGATTGTCTTCACAATTGCTGCTTTAAGTAGTTAAAACTAAACTTCATTTTCTTCCCGTCATAGCATAAACATTCAAGGACTTTTTCATGCTTCCAACAAGACACATATTTTACAATATTAGAACACTTCTATCTGAGTACCCTAAGAGATGAATACATCAGAATAGGAATATCACATGAAGCTTGGTATCTTTTTCTTTGTGTACAGAAATGTAGCAGAATAAGGAGATATTTCAATATGACTAAAAAGTTCTGCTACATTGCTTGAAATTGTTAGACACAATTTTTTATCGCCCTTTAAAGTCGCCCTTCAACCAGAGGCCATCATTTACAATAAACTTTGTACTTCCTGGTATTAATTGCCTTTATCTTTACTTTCACTGATTCAAAGAATATCCCATCCTATTTAAATCTGTTACATTAAATTCATTTAAATGAGGATAAAGATGTGCATACCTTCCCCAACAATGTAAACCAGGCCAATATCAGCTGTATGCTAATGCACAACTACACTGTGCAATCAACGCTCTACTACAGCTTGGTATTACATAAGCTGTGTATTCATGTGCAACCATGTTAACAGCATGACATAATCACTATTGTAAACACTGTTAGGATCTGCATTGCATCAGCAATGGGATTGTATTTATCATAAGAAACCAAGTACCCCCCCATAATGGTTCCCCCTCCTTTCTTTAAACTAGTTTCCTATGGTATTTAAAATTTCTAATACATATCAAAATGAGTATAATTCACTGGGAAATGTTGATTGGGTAAGTGACTCAGAATAGAATGGCAGCTTCATAAATCTAGAGATGCTGACACATCTCTTATTTTACTGTTGAAGTCTTTGTTAATTTTCTGTCAGCTTCAATAGATCATTAAACAACAATACCAAATAGAAAGTATTTCATCAGAATTGCTTCACAGTTTTTTCACAGCCAAAGCTACAGGCAGAACTAAATTGAAATCATGTAATACGTGCCCTCCCACCCCTTGAGATCAGCAGCAGAGGCCCTTCTCCAGGAGCCCTCCATGAAGGACATTAGGAGGGTGAGTACCCGGAGGAGGGCTTTCTGTGCGGTGGCGCCCAATCTATGGAATGCACTCCCCAGAGAGGTCCGCTTGGCGCCATCATTTGCTTTTCAGCACCAGGCCAAGACCTTTTTATTTAAACGTCATTTTAATTGTTAATATTATTTATTGATTTTATATCTTCAGCCAGGACGTCTCCAATTATATTGTTTTATATGGTTAATTGTGTATTTATTTATTTATTGTTGTGAGCCGCCCTGAGGCTTCGGCAAATGGGGCGGCATAGAAGTTTGCTAAATAAATAAATAAATAAATACTCATCAGAAATACAATTGCCCAAGATTTCCAGTCAACTAATGAAAGATTGGAGGGTTAGGAAAAAACAGGTCTTAAAAAGTTACTTAGACAACCTGTAAAAAAGAGCTGCCAATGATTATTTTGAAAGTATTTCACCCTTAAGGGCAAATACTTTCACTAGCTTTATATACCAACCGGAATGAAAATCCAAAACTCTTGTTCTTACTTTGTTTGGCAGAAGATAAGAGCTAGTACATCTTCATATATCTTGCATGTGGACTGTATGGTTCATTCTTAGAATTTTTAATTTGTAATCAGTCAAAAGATGCACTATTATTTTTAGCAAAGTACAGCTTTGTAGCCATATAAAAATGTGATTTTGGTGACCAGGCATTTCTACTATTTATCCAAACATTTAAAAACTCCAATACACTGCAACAATAATTAAGGGGGGCTGCATCTAAGTTTCTATACTCCTCAAATATGTGTAAGAGCATAAGAAGGGCTATGTTGAATCAGACTAATAGTCCATCCGTTTCAATGTTCTCTTCACAATGTGGCCAACCAGCTGCCTGTAATTAGTGTTGCTAAACTCCACCTTTTTTGTTAACAAAATCTACATGTTGCCACTTTTGTATAAAATCAAGAGCATTTGCCTTTAAAAATGATTTTCATAACCTTGACCATGTCAATGTAATTTAACATCTCTCAACTGGTTTTGTATCTTTGACTAGATAAAACTGGCAAGAAAAAAGAAACGTGATATTTAGAAACATGAGACAATGTAATTCTATTTAGCAATGCAACTGTGCTGCACAAACATACTGCGTCCTGCACATGAGCCAGTTTTATACCACCTATCTTTGGAAAGAGTATCAGACAAACTAGACATTTGATTACTCATTTTATTCTCTATTTTTATTGCGTATCCATGTTTATGCAAGGTATTCATACCAGAATAGCAAAATATTATTCTCTTGCACTGCAAGGGAGTAAGTCAAGTTCCAAAAGAGTTCGTTAAAAAAAAAGCTTTTTGTAGAAAAGCTTTTTGTACAAAATTGTACAAAAGCTTTTAAAAATCATTACCACCACCACCACCACACCTGCATAGTATACAATATGCACATTTCCAGATGCAGAGGAGCCTTCTTCTAATTTAAATTCATTTAACCACCATGAAGTATTTGGTAAATGCTATGATTCATCATAATAACCCCACAAAATCACTGATCCTAGTTGATGCAAACTCTTCCAGAACTATACAGATTAAGGCAATTAAACAATGCAAAATGCATCACAATCCACTATGGCTGTCCATAACCTCTGATCAGAGGTTTAAGGGTATCCTATCAAGGATTTCAACTAAGTCTTTTGCTCCTGCTCACAAGGAGGAGAGGCTGAGATACCACCAGGATATATTATTTCATGGTAGAGTCTTGCTCCTTTCTTCTTTGCTCCCTGCTCCCCCTTCTCCAACACCAGCTCCAAAGCCAGTTTTCTCTGGTTGGAGCTGCAGCCCGTGTGTTCTTTCCATGCTAGCTGTGATGATGGAAGCAGGCACTCAGAATTCAATGAGCTATAAGGTTGGCGCTGGCATACAAAACTTTCCTTCACCCATGGAGTATCTCTCCAGATGGCCATTGCAATATGACCTAAATGTACTTGGGAATGGGATCTAAAAGTTTCTTTATGCATCACACC